CATCCCCCTTAACTGTCTTTGACTGCTGCCATCTGTGGAGATCACGTCACAAAACTCTTAGCTTCCACACACACACAATGCTATCACTGATTGGGTACATTTATCCTGGTCGCGCACTACCATTGGAGGCTCATGTGTCCTTGCGGCATTCATTAAACATTTACGCTATATCTTTAGCAGGTATTGTGGACGGACTGTACCTGTCCAGGGATCCATCATCAAACGTCTCTGCAAAGTAGACTTCTCCAGTGGGAACAGGAGTCTTGTAAGTTACCTGTGGCACAATATTGTAAATTAGAAGTTGTTATACGGAGATCTTTAACATACTTTAATTTCCCATCTGAACTTTACTTAACCTATGACCCATTACTGACCTGGAAGGAGACATTAGCATCCACTCCAGCCGTCCCACTGGCTGTTCCGTCTGTCTTATCAGCTTGATCTTCATCCATCACTGTCGCCTCATCCTCCTCCTCCTCCTCCATCTCCTCTTCCTCTCCTTCCAGCAGAACATTCAATTCCTCATTGTCCAACCCCATATCTTCATCGATGTCTGAAACATCAAGCTCCAACTGCTTCTCCTGGGCTGCCGCAGCTGCCCCAGCAAGGGAGAACAGGAGCAGCAGGCCCCATATCCAACCCCTGTCCAGCTTCATCTGTAGGGGGAGGGTAGAGAGAGGGGGGAGGTGAAAGCAGAAGGGTAAGTAGAGTGTGAGATAACGCCGCCAGAAAGGAACACAGTGTGGTATGAGAGGATAAGGGAAAAGGAGGAGAAGAAGAGGCAGGTGTGAGATGTTATTTATGGAGAGTGACGGGTGTGTGCAAGGGGGGGGTGCATCAATGATATAAATAGCGAATGCATAAAAGGATAGAAAGAAAAACACAATGAGATTGAGGTCACATTAGTACACACTGGAGGCCTATTTCCTCAGATTACACTTGTCTTGTGTTTTCTCTCCAAAAACTCTGCTAAATCATGAAGATAGGTGCCCTAAGGGAAGCGATAAAATCACACAACCAACCAATTTGAATTCATTGTGCATATCATTTCCCAAACATCAGTGTTTCCCATACATTGATTCATATGTGGTGGGCCGCCACAATTAAATATCGTCCGCCACAAATAGATCTCGTAAAAAAATTATATAATTTGTTTGCGGTGCGGTGCAAATAGAATCAAATTCTGTGGGGAACACTCAACATCTTTAATTCTCCTGATTTGTAACAATAAATATATTAGATAACAATATGTGTGTGTATCCCAATATGCCTTTAGAACTAACTAACTAACCTTGCTGAATACTGGTACAATTCATACATCTGTTACACCAAACAGCAGCTTCAATGACCTATTGATCCAGTCACACCTGCTCACTCTTCTTGTTAGCAGTCATTTAAACACATCAGTACAGACAGCACAGCAGCACACCTCCCTTCATTTCTAAATTGCTTTATTTCCCATACTGCTGTTCTTCTATTTGCTGTCATCAGGGCGCATGAAGATCAAAATGACAAACATATAAGAGGAGATGATGAACAGAAAACATAATTAAGAGCTATCTTTTCTTGAAAAGCAATAAAATGTTGCAGATTATTTGCATCTTTGGATATAAGGCAAACAACGCAACAGAGACATTTCTTGAGAGAAATCATGGCCACACCCCATGAAGGAGGGGTGGAACATATTTTCTAATGTGAAAATATTCAAAAGCTATATATATATATATGTATTTTAAAAACAACAGGAGTACCTCTCGCACACACACAACATGTTTCCTGCTTTAAATCAAAGTGTAGTATTTGTAATATATAAGGTCTCAATTTAGTTGTGGCCCAAGTCTAAAAAGGTATCTCTAAACAGGTTGCACTTTCTGCCAAGTCATCTTCTCTTTTAAAAAAGCAATGAGAGGATGGTCCAGATTTACAGATAGAAGGAAACAAGCCATGCAGGGAACCAGGAAACAGACAAGCAAGCAACACCATCCACTATTTGGATACATAGCTAAGCAATTCATTTCAAAACAATTTTTTGACATATCCAACGCAACACCAATAAAGCAGCAGACAGTCATAATGTTTATGTTAATTAAATGATAAAATATGCAGTTACACATAGATAAAACGGTACTACAATACAACTGACAGACATGCAATGCATCATAGTATACGACATAGCTTTAAAACAGCATACCAAATTGAAAAACAAGGATTAGTAGTATGCCATACACGTAACTGGCTTTATAGCTGTCTGCATGTCAGTAACCAAAAGCCACATCTATTTCTATTGTAAGCTTCAGTTTTCTTATTTAACAGTCATAGTCCAATGACCCATTACCTGTCTTTGCCTCACGTTTAAGAGAGCCAACAAGGGCTTTCATTATTTTTTGTTAAATATGTAAGAGAAGCTTATCACTGAACATGTCTAGGAACGACATGGAAAAGGTCATGGGACAGGGTTGTGGAGCTAACATGGCTGCCACCGAACACGGCGATGTCCAAACTCTTTTTAGATGAACGGCTCTGGCTGGAGCACCTGCTCCGCTAGCTAGCTATGCTAACGGAAAAGCAAACGTAAGCATAACATAAGCTTGGATAGTAAAGTAATGGGCGTATACAAACGGAGGCCTGTAATTAAACATGCCATGGCGTTAAAAAAACAAAAAGGGCAAATCATATAAAGTAAAGGGTAGCGGAAAATGTCTTGCTACACTGCAGAAATGAGTGGAGAGCAACGGTTAGCATGCTACATTGGCAGTGGTGGTGTCGCACAGGGGGAGGGATGGAGAGAATGAATGAGCACACACAAACAAACAAACCTTGCGCCTGCTTGTTAATTGCAGAGAAAATGTCCCGATAAAAGCTTTTTCTCTTCTTGGGAAAACAGAGGAGGTATGCTCTCCGTTTGGCCCGCTGAGAAAATCACCGAGGCCCGCCGTGTGTGGTTTGAGAAAGCCCGGTTTTCGGCTGGGGAAGATGGGATCTAGATGACAGTTTGGCCCAGATAACGGTGCGCGGTTGACGAGTGCATGAGCGAGTCGGAACGACGCATGCGCATACAGTGCAGATGGGGGAGCGTGAGTGGTGCCTTCACGTGCCGCCGACAGTTGTAATAAATACCATAGGTGTAACCATAGGGTGTAACCGAGTGTAACTAATGTGAATGTAGAATAATTTTGATTTAATTTAGCTATTCTTCTGCATGATTGAAAATATTACATCAGCTATTGCAATTATTACAACAATTAATGAATGTAGTTAAGTATTTTTGATATTATCACATTTAACCAATGTGCACGACGTTCAGGTCAAAATGGCAAATACTACAATACTCACAAGACCACCATGGCAACAGGGTCAATTATGGCACAAACAAGTAATTAAGATACGAATGAATATTTTTAAATGTCAGCATTAATTCAAGCAAATTACTTGCCGTAATATTTTCCTTATTTCAAAGCCCCACACGACGAGTTTAGCACTTTAAGCCACCATGAATGTCTCTGCAGTTGCATTTCAAAGTAAAAGCATACTATTTGCATATACTATATTGTTCATAAAATGTTCCGTGGGTATAATGCCAATGAATACCTGGGCCTTTACAATAGTTAAGCACAAATAGTCAAGCATAAATTACGATTCACAATCAGTGTTAACAAGTAAATAAAAGAAACGTATTAACCCCCAATTTTACTGTGGCACGTACTATGAACTTCCGGGGTAGAGTTCAGAAATATAGATGGTGGCCACATGCGTGTGGCTGTGCAGTTGTGAAGTAAATAAGTGAAATAAAACTGCAACTACTCAACACTTGCAACATGAAGGACACACCGCTGTCTAACTGTGAGCGGGATTTCCTGCTCAAAGCCATCGAGGAGAAAAAGGTGAGCTGGTGGCTGAACATTGCGCAGTGACTTACAAAACTAACATCGAAAATGATGAACTACAAAAGGGAAAAAAATATAGATCCAGTATAAAAAGCCTTTAATCTTAAAAATAATGACATATTTTAATCTTCTTCAGGGTAATTGTTTAATTCATATGTTATTATTGTTGTAATTATTAATGCATTGATGTGTTTATTACTGTTGCAGCCAGGAAAGGAGAAGCTACTTTCTTTATGCCTTGGTTATATTTACTAGTGACGTTTTATTCATAGAGCATCTTTGGATATACTGCCTAGTAGCTTGTGGAATTAAAGAAGGGATCGAATAAGTTTATCTTAACCTATAATAATATATAATAAATTATTTGTTGATTATACATTTGTATTATTGACCTCTGAATTGCAGGTGAGTATAATTATAAAGTAGTAAGAAATGAAAAGAAATGGAAAGACTCAAGCAAAGTACCTTCCAATCGTATTGAAATACAATACTTATTTAAAGTACTACTATTATCCACTATTGGTCTCCAGTTTTGGCAATCTAAAGGTTTCAGTGAGTTGTACCTGTATATCTGCTTTGAGGGAAATGGTGTCCCATATTACCCCTCTGTCCTCTCCCTGCAGCGCCTGGATGGACGACAGACCTACGACTACAGAAAGATGAAGATCACGTTTGGGACTGACTATGGGTGCTGCTTTGTGGATCTCGGAAAAACCAGGTTAAACTTTGGCCTGTTATGTGTACTGTGATTTTATACCTAGTCACGCCTATGGGGTAAAAAATGTTTATCTTCAAGACTGATGTACTGAACACTTCCCTAGCAATTCACCCACATTCACATGGATTTTTGTATTTATTTACTCAGTAAATTGAGTTATGTTAACACTTGGAATATCAATGTTTTTCCCTCTTTAGGGTCATGGCACAGGTGTCAGGTGAGCTGGTGGCTCCTAAAGAGAATCGACCAAACGAGGGAATCATGTTCTTCAACATTGAGCTGTCCCCCATGGCCTCACCAGCATTTGAACAAGGCAGGTAAGAAAAGACAAAAATATATTACTTTTATCAGGGTTCGATATTAAGGACTGCCCGATGGCCCGGGGCCATCTAGTATTTAGCTCGGGCAATGAAGCCTCACCTGCTGGTTGCCCGATCATGCCAGTATTATGCCAGTAGTAGTGGAGAACTGGGCAGCTATCTTGGTGAGTGACCGGCGTTAGCTACAGAATGTTAGCTAACGTCACATCACAACATTGTAAAGTTAGCTATCATATATCAGGCTATAACTAAAGTAGCATTGATAATATAGTAACGTTACTGGCAGGACTGTTGATACTGATCCATAACAGAAACTAATGCGCAAGTATCAGCCGTATCTCGCGTTACCTAATGCAACTCCACACTACGGTGCTGTGTACCGGAGGAGAGACGCGAGATACGGCTGATACTTGACGATCTGGCGGAGAAAGGTTGTGGAGCCTCCGTTGATATGTCGTTGTAAATGGCTTGATGGAAAGCAGGGGCCGTATTCACAAAGGATTTTAGGGCTAAAAGTAGCTCCTAACTGGCGAATTTAGGAGAAACTCCTAAGCATAATGGGCGTGTCAGTCTTAAATTTAGGACTCCTAATTTTATTCACTAAGAGCAATTCACAAAGTATTTTAGGCTTAAAAGTAGCACCTAAGTCTGGGAGAGCTTAAAAGTCCTCGAGAGGACTCCTAACTCAGTAAGACCTATTCACAAAGAATCTGAAAATGGCTGAGAGACGAAATGTTTTGGAGACAATGGAAGACTGTGAATTGATCAAGAGATATAGGCTAAATCGTGAGGGTATCAAACTTGTTGTGTAATTAGTGCGGGATGCAATAACATCCCCGACTAACAGGAATAACCCGATTAGTCCGGAAATAAAATGTTTGGCAACACTACGATATTTAGCAACAGGGGAAAATGCAACTTTGCAATGCCGACGATTTAGGAATATCGCACCATCAGTCAGCCGTGCCATAAACCAAACCATCAACGCGCTCTCTAGACCACATATCATCCAACAGTTTATCCGGTTTCCTTTGGACAATCAACAACTACACAGGATCAAAGCCAACTTCATGGCAATGCAGGTATGCCGGTGTGGTCGGTGCTATTGACGGACGCACATAAAAATAATTGCGCCATCAAAAGATGAGGACGTGTTCGTCAATAGAAAGAAAGTACATTCCATCAACACGCAGATTGTTTTCATTCATCATGATAGGGGGGCTTTAACGGCGGTATGGGCTGTTATTGAAAGTGTTTAAGTGCTGGAAATATGCTCATTGGATAATAGTTTTGCGGGTGCTTTTAATTGCCTTCTTGATTTAATGCAATTTACGTATTTTTATTGTTTGCTCCT